TTCATGAAAATTTTTTAATATAAATTACATCTTAATTATGCATAAATATAATATTTTCATTAAATTTAGATATTAAATAATAATTTTATTAATATAATACATATATAAATATAAAATTAAAATAAATAATAAAAAATATTTTATATATACTTGGGGCCCAAAACACCCTAAACCTACCTCTGATTTGATTTTTATTTTTAAAAAGAAAAAAACTAGACTTGATATTAATTAAAAAAATGCACATGTGGAATCAAGACAAATTGAAACTCATCATATATGAATTATTTTGTCATTTCTACCTCTATTGACTTATTTTGTAAAAAATTTATCTAATTTAAAAAGTAAAAAAAAAAAAAAACAAAGAAAATAGTAAAAAAAAAGAGAGCTAAATGGGAAGATAAAGACCACACAAAATTTTAAAAAATAAAAAATTATTTATTAAAAATGGAAAGAAAAAAGAAGAGGAAAATAGAAACAAAGAAAAAGGGAAAATAAAAGAAATGAAAAAGGAGAATATAAAGAAAAAAATAAAATAAAAGAAGATAACTCATTTAGTGCCACGTGGCACCCATATTAGTAAAATTTTTTTTTGTTTTTTCATTTTCATTCATCTATTTTTTTTTGTTGTGAAATTTATCATATTAAAAAAAATAAAAAGATGAAAGGTAAAAAAACCAAATAGGGGTGACACATAGATATCTCATTTGGTCCATTTTCTCACAAAATTTATCTAATAAAAAATAAAAACAATAAAAAGTGAAAATAAATAAAAAAAAAAGAAATAAGGAAGCTTATAGAAGGTGCCACATGCATACCTCATTAAGTTTAAAATATTAATTTCTTAACTTAAGGTATCAAAAAATAACTTTGTTAATATAATAAATATATATAAATATAAAATAAAATTAATAATAAAATATATACTTTTTATATATACCTTGAAATAGGTTGAGACAGAGCATCCTAAATACGTTTCCAACCCAATCTTCTTTTTCTTAAAAAACTTTACTCATTTCAACTCAATTCCAATTTTTTTTTTAAAAAAAACACCTTATCAAATTAAAATGGATCAAAACCAATTGAATATCGATTATTTTGACATCTTTATTGATTGGCTCTCTTTGTTACAAAATTTATCTAATTAAAAAATACAAAAAAGATGAAAAAAAAAAAAGCCAAATAAGGTGTCATGTGGACACCCTAATTGGTTTTTTCACAAAATTAATTTAATTAAAAAGACATAAAAACATAAAAGGCAAAATTAAAAAAATAATAAATAATAAATAAAAGGGAAAAAAGAGATCCATAGGGGTATTAGTTCAACATCATAGTTGAGTTTAAAACGTTAATCTCTTAAATTAAGATATTAAATAATAACTTTATTAATAAAAATATTAGCAAAAAACAATACAAAGGAAAAAAAAAAAACCAAAAGAATAAGAAAAAATAACAAAATAGAAAGCATTGGATTGCCATGTAGAAATCTAAATTTAATTTTAGATGTTCATATCTTAAATTAAGTATCAAATAATAACTTTATTAATAATATATATAATTAAATAAAAATTAAAATATAAACTTTTATACATAGCACGAAGTGGTTAGAGCAAAGTGTATTAAATTGGCTTCTAACTTGACTCGATATTTTTTTACAAAAATGTCTATATCGAATCAGGATAAATCAAAATCCATCACATATTGATTGTTTTGTTATCTTTATCGACTAGCTCATTTTATTGTAAATATTCTATAATTAAAAAATACAAAAATAAAAATAAAAGAAATACGAAAGGAAATAAATAAATGGGGTGCTATATGGGCACCTTTATTAAAATTATTTTTTTACAAAATTTATTTAATTAAAAATATAAATGCAAAAAGTAAAAAAAAAAAAAAAACAAAGAACATAAATTATCCTCCTACCAGATGGGGTTGGATCAAAATGAATTAGATACGAATTTTTTTACCTTTCATATCCATCATCTACTTTGGTTGCAACATTTATCTAATTAAAAACAAAAAAAAAAAGGAAAAAGGAAAAAAACAAATTAGGGTGCCACGTGAACATCTCCATTAGGTTTTTTTTTTTTCACAAAATTTATCTAAATTAAAAAATAAAAAACCAAAAAAAGTTGAAAAAGGTAAGAACAAAATAAAAAATGAAAAATAAATATAAAGTGCCATATCATCACCTTAAATGAGATTCAAACAATTGCAAAATATAAAAATTTATGTGATAGACGAATGGATGGATGGATAGATAGATTACATCATAATTATATATAAATATATTAATTTTATTAAATTAAAACATTAAATAATAATTTTATTTATATAATATAGATATTTAAATATAAAATTAAATAAATAATTAAAGCTGTAATTAAATATATACTTGGGACAAGATGAAACACTCTCAACCTATCTTTAACCCAACATCGATTTTCAAAAAAAAAACTCAGTCTAATCTCAAATTAAAAAATGTACCAATTGAATCTGAATGAATCAAAACCTATTAGATATAGGCTGTTTTATCATCCATTCCTTCATTAACTTTTTTTTTTTTAGTTTATCTATCTAATAGTTTTGTGGCAAAATTTATCTATCAAAAAAAAAAAAAAACAAGAAAGGCAAAAAAAGTGAAATAGGATACTACGTGTATAAATTTGTTTGCGTTTTTTTAAACTGATCTAATTTTAAAAAATAAATAAAAAATAAAAAATAAAAAAAGAAAAAAAAGTTGAGTTGCTATGTGATATTAATAATGATGAGTTTTCCATGAAAATTTTATATCATAGATTTAAAAAATGACAAAAAAATAAAAACTAAAAAACTAAAACTAAAACTAAAAGAAGGTTGAAAAAAAAAAACTAAATTTGGATATCACATTAACATCTCGATTAAAACCCTTTTCTTACAAATTACCTAATTACAATAAGGAAAAAGAACGAAGAAAAATCATTTTAATCAATAATATCATATAAGCCCAACAAAAAATAACTATTAAAAATATTTATTAAATATAAAAAAATATATAAAAAAGAAAAAATAAAAAAATTAAATGGTTGACACATAGCATCCTTTTGAGGCCAACATAAAAATATACAATACAAAAATATTTAATAAAAATAAAAAAAAATAAAAAAATTTTGACATTTGTTACCTTTTGTATTTACACACACAAAAAAAAATTAAAATATAAAAAATATTTATTAAATAAAAAACAAAACAAAACAAAACAAAATGTTAATACATTGCAAAGGTCATATCCAAAATTAATATATAGGATTGACGTGAAGAGCTGGAAATCGTTTCTCCATCATGGTTAGATGTTCAGTCGTTGACATCTAATTATATTGCGTATGCCTATCTGCTAGACTCAAAAACTTGCTGGGCTCAATCTTATATTCTCACTAGAAGAAATACCCACGCTTTGCTATGGTTAAACAGAAATCAACTTAAGCATACGCAAAAAGATTTACAAAATGAACATTTATCAATACTCCATTAAATACCACTATATACCATTTGAATAAGAATAAACTTACATATTTTATATCATTTGATTATAGGCATGTGAATGGACTTTGAAATTAGCTTGGAAAAAAAGAACTTGGAAGCAATTCTTATTTTTGTGTCGTGAAAAACTTAAATAAAAAATCAAATCCAGTAATAAAACTATAACATAAAAGTAGTAAAAATGAAAATTATTTTTAGGATGTTTTCTCATGCATTAAGAGTTATAATCACATCTTATTTTTTATCTCTATATGTTTTACAGAGTAAGATAAACTAAGAAAATTTCTAGGACAATTCAAATACCAAATAAACATTACATCTTATATGAGCTCAACCTTAAAAGTTATTTGTTTAAATAAAAGATCCTTGAAACGTTCCCATGGGGGAGTTACCTTTGCAAAATTGTGAAAAATGCTTTCGTTGCTCATTTGATGGCCTATAATCTAGTAGCTCTTACTATCCACGCTGCCTATACCAATTAATATAGTTGGATCATGATAGCCTGCACAATCTCCATAAGATAAGGCAAACACCATTAAAATCAATAAGTTCAATGAATACTTTCAGTATGCATCACAACAGTCATCTGCACAACCTAAATTTAAGAATGAGTAACCATTCTTCTTGTACCTATTTACAGTACATAAGTTTGAAAGAAGAGGAAGAAAGATGATGAGAAATTAGCATGCTGCAATGTTGTAGTGAACTTTAAATTGCACATGGCTCCATCAGAAACTTTATAGGAAACCACTAATAATTAGATTTGACTTTTCTTCACTGAAGTAAATTAAATTTAAAAAATCTAAATGTTTGTTCAAATTCAATTATTTTAAATAATTTTAGGTCAAAGCCAAGCCTCCAATATCACTAAAAGTTAAATCATACATAGCAGAATAAAATGTTGGATTTCAAAATAAATACTAAAAGAATGCTAATAACATGTAAGAATAGTAAGGTAACTTAAACAACTCAAATTTGAGGCATATTGAAAGAAAATGCTTTCTAACGATTTTGTATTCTCAATAAAAATCAATGACTTATAACATAAATACTTGGTTAGTGCTTTTCAATTATCCTTTATACACTCGACCAAAACCTGTTTCACCCGTAAGGCAAACTGCTTTGAAATTTTTTTGTTGCTAATGCCAATTCACGAAAAGTAGTAAGTTCAAAAGCAATTTTATAAGCTAAGTTCATGTTATTGATATTGAAGCATATAAATCGTATAAATAATAAAGTAAAAAAATTAATTTTTAATATCGTTTCTCGAGAATTGCATTGATATCTAGAACTAATTATTAAAATTGGATACTCTGAATGATCTAACAAAAATTAAAAGGTGCCATAAAAATAAAAGACATGAAATAAAAGTATGAATACATATATATATATATATATGTCATATCCCTCATCAAAATAGGGAAAGTTGGACCAAGATAAATTACACACGCCCAAGGGCAGGATGGCCAATTTGCTTCTACCCTCACAGTGGAGGAAACAACGTCGTCGTTTTCTGCTTTCCATCTCCTTGAACTTATGCTCCAAGTTGAAAAGGAACCTTCCAGCATCGTCCAGGCAAAAGCCTCATCAGAAAAAGTCTTCAGAATCTCTCTACAATCATAACTCGTAAGTTGATAACTACTATTTTTTCTCTTTTCAATTATTAATCTTTAATTTTACGGCGTAGAATTTTCTTCTATTTCAACTGTCAATATTCGGTATTTCACGATATTAGGGTTTATTACTGTTATTTTCTGGTTTCAGCTAAGAGGAAATGGCAACTGAACAACCAAAATCGGCAACCGAAGACGTGAAGATGGATCTGTTCGAAGATGACGATGAGTTTGAAGAGTTTGAAATCGATGAAGGTAATTCTTTTTCCCTTTTTATCTATTTTCTATAATTTCCGCGGAGGCTAGGGTTTAATTTTAGGTTTATGTTAAGTGACTAACTATTATGAAACTTAAAATTGATGTCCATTAGCTTGATTATTTCGTTTTCTTCTATATTTTTGTTAATATTCAGAATTATAAACTTAAAATGAGCGGTTCGTGTTATTAAATTTTTACTGTTCTGGTTGTAATTAGAATGGGAATTTTTCTGAGCAGCTTAAATTTAATATTAAGGGAGGGAGGGTATATTGCAGTGACACTTTTCGAAGTTCAATTGGAGATTGCTTCTGTTGCAAATAGCAGTTGAAAAATGTGATGACGTGAATCAAATGTTATCAATGAGTGGTTCCAAATTTGCACTGCAAATCAGTTTATTTGTTATTATGTATGCTGGAGTTTGTTTCTCTTGATTTCTGATACATATAAGCTGCCTGACCTCATTTACTGGTTACCAGAGGCAAATACCTAGAGTCGGAGTGCTTGTTTATGCAATTAAATATGCAACTTTATACCACGATAACCATGTCATACAAGATCTAGTTTCAAATCTTGTGATAAATTCTTGTTGAAAACCTACTCAAATAAAACTGATTCTTGATTCAACGAACTCATTATGTAGTACTCAAGCTGTTTGCCTACTCTTTTATCTAATCTGTTTCTTGATCAGTAACCTAGCTAGAAAGCAATGTTTAAGCATATAATGAGTGAATTACACTTGCATCCTCTTGTTATTGGAATAAAAGCTTATTTTATTGTGTGCCACAATTTTGACACTAATAATTTTCTGACCAAGCCCCAAGCTGAGTTGAACTATTTTCTTCTATATGACTATGGCAGTCTTTGCAATTCGCAAGATTTGAAATGTCACCTTGTAGCCATATTGTCCTTCCATGAGCCTGATCTTAAAATTTTGCTAACAACAGAGAAGTATATTTATTGTCTCTAATTAGGTACAAAAATGAAGCCTCTCCTGATTTCAAGAGTTTGCTCCAGCACCCGGTCACAAACAATCTGTAGTGTCCCGGAACTTCCAAAGTCTGATGCAAGCAACCCCCAATTGGTTACTTGGTGTTATATTTCTAAATGGAACTGGTTACCATGGATTTAAATAGTGTTGATGACGCAATATAGTGATCGCTATTTAGTGGTAGTGTCATCCTCTGCCACCATCGTTCACCTAATGGAGGTGTAGATCGTTATTATCATTCACACAAGCAGCGGTGTATTGTGTCCGCAAATAGCAGTATAATGGAAAATTGCGGTCATAATGAGATGCTAAGATTAAAATATCATAAATTACTTTAAATATCATAAATAAATATTATTATGATTAAACTTTTTTTTTATATCATATATGATAAATTGTGAAAAATTTTGAAAAATTTATGACCGCAATAAGTGTGATTACTGTTATCTATCTGTTATGTCTGCAATCGCGATAAATGTGACGGGACCAAAAACACTGCCGCAACTGCATTTTAAATCCTTGCTCGTTACATTGTTCAATGCTGTTGCTTTCAATGATGCTGTGTGATGCTAATTGATGTTTATATATATTTTAATTATGCATAAAGATTTAGGGAACATGATGCTTGATGTTCTGGTGTTATTGTTTGTTCTTTTGGAACATATTATCTGTTTCTTCTCCAAATTAATGCTTGTTTCCTTCTAATAATGGTACTTGGATCATTAATTTTTTGCTCCCTCTTGCCATGTCAGCTGATGGATCTGTCTTGTTCAAAGGAATTCATATTATCCTTTTTTTCTTTTTTATTTTTCTAGTATTTAATGTCGGTATCGGAGTACAAAATTGCAATCTGAATATTTTTCTTCTCCTGACAGAGTGGGTCATCAAGGAAGAAGAGAAGGAAGGGACACAGCAGTGGGAAGATGATTGGGATGATGATGATGTCACTGATGATTTCTCACTGCAACTGAGGAGGGAACTTGAGAATAACGCTGTGAAGAGCTGAGCTGGACTTATGCATTCTCTATTGCCTCTCGTAATTCCTCTGTGAACTGCACTCTAGTTTGAATTGATTTTCATTTCCATGCAAAAAAAAAGAAAAAAAAATGCTTGAGCTTTAACTCTTATGCTTTGCTGTTTGGTAGAAACTTAAAATGCAGAAACGGGTTTTTATGGTTCTCTAAAGTATAGACATCGATTTAACTGTTCCTGATCTTGTGCCTGTGTGTTGTTAAAGTTATTGTTTGGTTATTTTAAAGCTTCATATCCTTGACTTCCTCACTACCCACAACAACGTGTCAAGAACATCCCTTTTCCATATGTTCTTTTTCTTCCCATTGTCCATGCATCAATGATCTAATTATTTTTTATTCGAAGCAATTATATCACCCTACTGCTGTTTTTGACTTAATTTCCCGTCTTTGATGGAAAACGAAATTGTTGTACAAATGATTTTGGTCGACACTTCATTTGCCTGTTTTTATTTTGGTACATTAGATAGGGGATAGGGTAAAAATGGTGAAATTCAAACTTTCATTTGCATGTCTTTCTAAGCTTTCTAAGCCATTAGGCCAAGAAGTTGAAGACCTTTATATGCTTTAATGTACTTTCTCCTTTCATAGGAGCAAGATAATTTCCTTCTCGGTGTCAGGGCCGGTGGGATGATATACCATCTTTGCTGCTAAAGTCCTTAGAAAAATATCAGTGAGCTTTTTCTAAAGGAACATTGCTTTCCTAAATGGAATAGAGCAGATGTTGCTTCGGTTGCGTAGGATAAAAGTTAATGTCTAATAGGTTAGTGAAGATGTTTCAAATCCATGAGCTTTTTGGTGTTACTTCGTTAACATGTCATCTTTCATTGTTCCCAAACCCAACCATTTTCAAATGTTCCCCAACCCCTCCTTTTTAAAAGAACCTAAGGTGTAGGTCCCGTTTGGTACAAAGGAAAATCATTTTAAGAAATGGTTTTTCGCAAATTTCTGTGTTTGAATGGCAAAAGTAAAAATGTAAACTGAAATTGATTTTTCAGTTAAAGCTTAAAAATGTTCATTTTGGAGAAATTGTTTTTCGTTGTTTTAATCTAGAAAACAATTTCTCCAGCTAACTCATCTCTCCTTCCTTCAATAATCAAACTAATCTACGACAATTTCCTTCTCTAAACGCCAAATCTCAACTTTTTTTTTTACTTTACATCTTTCACAAATCCAGCAAACTGTCTCTCTTACTCCAAATTTAAACTTTTTTTTTTTCCTTGATTTCTTCTCTTAAAATATAATAAACCACCAAGAAAATTCTTAACATTCCCATTTTAGCCAACAAGAAAACTCATAAGATCTAGTAAAAGCCTTTTTCTTCTCCACAAGTCTTCTCCCTACGCCATGATCTTCCTTTTTAAACTTCAATCTCCAAGCTAACCTTGCATGCTCATAGGTATTCTGAAAAAACAAATCTATCTTTTCTTCACAAATTTTGTTATTTGGTTCTTTTATTGTATATATTTTATAGATTTTTATGAATTTAAAATGAGTATGTTTTAACTTTAAAAAAAGGTTTAGAAGAAAAAATAGAAAGAAAAAGATAAATAGTGAATATGTTTTTGTATTTCCGGTTGAAACAAAGGAAAATATTTTCTTTTAAAGCAGTCCAAACACCGAATAATCTTTCTTTTCCAAAAAATATCTTCAAGAAAAATTTTTTATTGTTTGAAAGTTGTTTTTCGATTACATACGGAACTATAATATTGAAGCTACCTAAACTACAAATTTAATTACATTAAAAATGTTCAAACCAAAGCTGGGAAACTTACGACTCTGAGATTTAGTTCAATTTATGCAAGTAATTATTTTTATGAATAGAAGATTTAATTCAATTTATTCATGTAATTATTTTTAAAAAATAATATTTAATAATTTTAAATTTTAAATTTTAATCCTTACAAATTTTTTTCTATTCTTATATTACAATTTAAAAAAAAACACAGACACACAATTTGAACATCTTGGAAAGGGTTGTGCATCACGGCTGCCAATCATAAAATGATAACATATTTAAATCAATGTTTGGCCGAAAAAATCAATGTGGATTTTATGCTAATTTAAGCTAATTTTAAGCTTATGTACCCAAAAAAAAAAAAAAAATCTAATAGCTAGAGTACAAAAATACCGAGTATAAAATTAAAATAGCCAAAAAGAGAAAGAAGGCAAAAGTTGAAGGAATTAAAAATGTAAAAAAAAAAAAAAAAAACTATTTTTCAGCATGCCTACTTACATTCATGCAAAGACAAGCAAAACTCAACAAGCTTTAAGAGCTAGATGTCAGCTTTTGTTTTTGCTTTCTCTCTTGGCGAAACTGGGAGAGTAGAAGCTTCACATGTCCCTAAGAAACCCTGCCTTTGGAAACAAGAATGAACTATGAAGCAGTTGGGTGTCTTCTAACTAATAATTCCAATATCACCAGCATCATCAAAATGCTGCCAATGTCAGAGTCGCAGATTTGTTGGGGAGGGGGCAGGGTGTTTAGATACTTACTTTCCAATTTCCAATCACTGTGTAATGAATCAAATGCAAGAAATCTATATCACAACGGAGCATTCAAACAAATGTTCCTTAAAATCTTTCCAAAGAAAAGTTTCCCTTACACCCTTTTAACCATAGTGGAATTGAGCTACGTACAATTCATTGAAAAAATGCGAAAAGAACAATGCTTGGAACCACACATCTGCATTGCAGAATGAATTGTTAAAGCTCAATTCAGTCCCAAAGAGGAACGCCTTTATCTACACCAGTTCAACTCCATCAAGGCTTGAAAATTGGCCTCTTTCATCTCCCAAGATCAGCCCAACTTTTGACGGATCAGCGAAAGTTCGACAGATTGGACAAATGAGGGTCTATGCGTTGAGAATAGAAGCTGTTTGGCAACAATTTGCACTTATCACCTTTTCTGAAATTCTCCAGGGAAACAACACATTCTACAGGGCTACTCCCTTTCTCAGCTGCCTTGTACTCAAAGCTAGATAGCTTCTTCAGGTCTTCATCTGACATCTTTTTGGTTCCATGCTGCCATCTTCGTACCCTCTCCTGAAAGCCTTCCCAACAATACAAATACGAATAACCACCAAAACTGCAATTCCCACAAATAAAAGTACCACAGAGAAGACAATTTCCGTAATCAAAAGGAGTTGTAAAATATCCAGACACAGATTTCTTTGCAAATCTTTCTCACCTACTCACAGCAATATGTTCCAACTCTCGTTGTTTCCAAGTGAAACTTTCACAAATGCTGAAAAGCATGGGAAACAGAAATCATTGATTTTATCAAAATTTGGAATGTGCTGATAATTTTCTTGTAGAGAGATTGAAAAGGATGATACAGCAAAATAAATAAATAAAATAAATAAATAAATAAATAAAGAGAGAGAGAGAAAGAAAGAAAGGTTTCGAGGAAAGCCTAACCAGTTTTCCTTTTTCAACCTATCCTAACTAGCTAGTACTGTAAAATCGTTGTAGAAGAGATATAGGCATGCGCAATCACCTATCAAAATCAACTTGATGATCTCTAGATTACTAAAGATCAAATCCTATCAATCTAGTTGATTACATATTGTCTGGTGGAGATTTGATGAACCTGGTTATACATGTAAATATGTACGAGGTATTGTAGATCTGCAAGCCCAAAATGTAAATGGGGAGCAACCATGGGCTGGACACAAGGGGGCAAACAAGTAAGAATGGATAAGGTAATCTCATCTGACATGAACAGTTCAGAGGAGGGTCATCAGATCTCCACTAAGCATAACAAGATAATGAGAGATAAGCACAAATAATCCGCAAACCAATCGGCGAAGGCTAGAACCAAAGAACACAAAGGCTAGATTTGTAGAAGATATAGAAGAACTGGTGAACAGAGTCAAAAAATAGAAAAACCTTGGTAGCCAGAAAAAAACGAAGCAGAGACAAAGAAGTTCTAGAAGGAAGATTGTTAACGAATCTCTGCCGGATGGTGATTTTCTGAACCGAAATAAGCTATATGGGGAAGCAATTGATACGTGGGAGGTCGGAAAGAAGCTGGGCTTGAAAGCTAACTGTGTAGGAAGAAGTCATAATTCGGAAGTCGAAAGATATGGAAGATCGTGAACAGAGGAATGTCGTGTAAAGCTGCTTGGATAAGCTTTTTGTGGTTGACTGCTTACTATTTTTGTTTTAGGTGATATATGCTGTGGATATGAGAATTCTATGTTTGAATGTGAGAGGGATTGGAAGTACAGCAGAAGTGGTTCTAAAGGATTTAGTGAACTGCTATAAAGTGGAAATGGTGTAGGGCTTTTGAGGATTTGGAGGAAGATATACTCGATGAAATCTCGATAAAGGCAGGAGAGGTAGAAAGATTAAGCAGAAATTGGTGAGGTCTTGGTCGAGTCCTGCAAAGAGCGTCGCCAACGATGGGGACTTCTTAAATAGGTATGCCGTCATATCCAACTCGGTTAAGTGTGATGATGAATCGAACATGGAAATGATATAGGAGCTTGAAGCTTCGAAATAATAGAAACGAATGGCGATAGCGGGTTTATTATTTATTTTATTATTCTTTTTGGTTAACGGTGTCTCGGGAGAAATACTATAATCTATTGATGTTTTCCTTCTGGTGAGATCAAACGGTGAGTCAAGGTCAGTCTTGATGAGGATGATAAGAGGTAGGGGCAATGAAGCTAGAGGAATTGAGGGGCAGCTTGTGAAAAGGCAAGTTTAATTTTGTTTCAATTTACCTTGGACGACTCGGAATGGTTTCTATAAATGCTGGTAGGTAAATTGAGAGATCCAAACACATAAAACCTATTTTTTAGCTGACAATTCTATTTTTTTTATAGAATTATCATATATTTATTGGAATAATTATATGACCTTATGTGATAACGTTTAAATTTAAAAATTTATCTATTAGATACAAAAATTATGAAATTGTTATTATTTTTTTTTATTTAAGTGTGATTGGTTATCTATGTAAATTTATCTTTCTTAAAGTTATCCTAAACTTGACTATGGGTTCGTAAAAAAAAAAAAATTTTAATTTACATCATCAGAACTAAGTTTGAGAGTTGATTATGCATAGGAAAAGTTTTAACACTCCATTATGCCCAAAATTAGTATCACATTAATTATATATTATCTTACCTAAGCTTTAATTCAAAAATATTTTTTATATCATGCAAATTATGCAAAAATCAAACAAAATCTAGAACCAAACAGAACCAAACAAAACTCAAAGATTAAACTGGAAATCAAACAGAACCTAAAACCAAACGAAAATTCAAAAAAATCAAACCAAAACCTTGAAATTAAAAATTTTAGAAAGTTTCCTAATTCCAAAAGCACCAAAGAAAACCCCAAAGATCAAAACTCAAGAATTGAACTTCCAGAACCCAAGATCGAGACTTAAAAAATTTTTATATGATTGATTGTTGGAATTTTGCCTATTGCTTATTAATTGATTGCTTTCTTTGATTCTCGTCCGATTTTTTCTTGCTTGTTGCTTATTACTTCTGGAAATTGCTTGTTGCTATATGTTTGATCTTATTTCTTTTTGCTTGTTGCTTATTGCTTCTGGAAATTGCTTGTTGCTATATGTTTGATCATATTTATTGCTTACTAGAGAATTGCTTCCTACTTGATCTATGTTGATTGCTTGTTATCTCTTAGTATTGCTTGATGTCCTATGTGATCATAGATTAGAGTCCTTTATATAGGGATCAAACTCATTTCAAATTGGAAAAAAATTTATTTCCATTGAATTTAGGATTTCCAAGATTGTTTTCTATGGTTTTCCTTTTCCACTTAATTACAAGTATTTCCTTAGGCAATCCATCTTTAAGTCTAGAATCTAAAACTAGATTCAAGGCTAAATCAAAGCTTTCTATTTGCAGAATTCCCACTTTTTTTTTTTTTAACTCTTGACTTTGACTAAAAAAATAAAATTAAATCAAAATTTAAATTTAAATTTAAATTTAAAATAAAAATAAAAATAAAACCAAAACCAAAAGTAAATAAAACCAAAATTTTTTGGGTTTTTAATCTTTGGCCCAAAATTTTTGTATTAAGGCCCAATTTGTAATTTTATAATCAAATCAAAATTGAAGCCAAATAAATTTCAACAAAATATCCGGATAAAATGAGGTGTCTACAATTACCTTTCTTTGAACATTTTCTATAAAATAGGAATTGTACAAAGATAAAAAAATATCGATTTTGTTTAGGTTAAGAAAAATCAAAAAAGAAATTGCTAAAGCTCCTTTTCGACAGAGGTTTTGAAACTTTCAAAAAATAAAATGTTGCCCCACAACTAAGGCATTGAAACTTTTGAAAAATAAGGTGCTCTCTCATGAGTGAGGTATTAAAACTTTTAAAAAATAAAATGCTTCTCCATAACTAAGGCATTGAAACTTTTGAAAAAAAAATGCTCCCCCAAAATTGAGGCATTGAATTTAAAAAAAAAAAATGCTCCTTCACAACTAAGGCATTGAAACTTTTGAAAAATAAAATAAATATTTAAGATTTTCAAATCATGGCTTAAGGTTTTATAGATCATTCTTACCTTTGAAAAAGCTTCTTTTTAATAGAGGCATTAAAACTTTAAAAATTCTTACCCTAAAATGATTTATTTCATCTCAACTAAATCATCATTGATGTCTCTTCTCAAAATCATCTTGACATCTACTTTCTCTTTCTTGCTTTCGAGCATAGGCAATGAATGCATGCAATGAATGAAAAGACTTTCCAAAATTCTAAATTCAATTTCAAAATTCAAACATTGATTTTTCTTGTTTTTTCAATAATGCTCAATGAATGCAATGAATGATGATGAATGTAATATTTTTAATGGATTAAATGAATGCAATGCATGAAATTCAAAAGTCAATGTCATATATCCCTAATCGTGGTAAATGGTTCTCAAGACTCTTTTTCATGTTTTCTCTTCTTTTCAATTTTCCATTATGTTCTTCTTTAGCTTCTTTAGAACTAGCTAGCAAATATATCAATTAATTTGACTCAAAATTTTCTTTCATTAGTTTCATCATTTGATCTCAATATTTGGAATATTTCTTGCTAGCCACAAGGATCAACATCCTTTTAAACCTCTTTCATTATTCTTATTTCATTTTTGATCTACCCTAGTCATTGTCAACTTTTTGAAAATAATGTAAGGATTTTTTATATCAGTCATTTGCTCATTCATCATCATTCCACTTCAATGACAATTATAGTCCATTTTAAGGAATAAATGGTGAAGAACAAGAAAAATCAAAAAGATAATTATTTTAAGAATAAGTCTAGCTAAGAATAAATAGGCAAATAAACCATTTCAAAGTAAGTCATCGAGATAAATGTTGGAAAGGGTTCACAATATCTAAGATAATGAATATTCATACAATTCTAAATAAATTAATTTTGAATTCTTTTTCAAAAGCTCATTCCATAGATATTCTTGATCTTTGGGCTTACCAATCTAAGCATTATCCATATCTCATGTGATCTTTATTAAAACTGTTTTTCTAAGTCTCAAATATAACTTTTTTTTTACTTAAATTGCCTTTTTGAGTTTTCCATTAAAGTTTTCCTTTTTCCTCATTTTTCATTTTTCATTTTCTTTTCTTTTTTTTTTTTGCACATTTTTTTCTTTTTTCTTTGCACATTTTTCCACACCTTTTCTTTTTCATTTCCATTCCCCTTGATTCATTAATGACATCAAAATCTCAAACAATCCCATTACAAAGTCTACTTTAATTCAATTCATGGTTCTTTAATTCGAGCATTCACATTCTATCAAAATGGACTTTTAAGGTATGTAACGTAGGTTAAGGTGAAGGGTTCTAAAAAAATGGATAAAATAGACCAAAAATGTATTTGAAAGGTTATAAACCAAATGATCATTTCTCATGGTGTGGAGTACCTTGACTTTTTACCCCATTCTTCATCAATTCTCTCTTTTTCTTTTTTTTACATTTTTTTTTCATTTTTGATTTTGTTTTTTTTTTATCATTTTTCAAGAAAAATCCAAGTACTAAAGAGTTTTGTCCCTAAAGTTAAGGCTTTTGATATGGAAAACTCTGTAAGCGTATAGATCGTACAAGTAGTAAAAGTGATTTTTTGGTCGAAAGGTCGATCCCACAAGGATTAGGTAGAACTTCCTACGCTAAGTACTAGTTATCATCGTACTCTTACTAAAGTTGGTTCAATTAAAAAAATTCATGAGAAAATAAAAAATTAACTAAGGCAAAATTAGCAAATAAAAAAAACTAATATGCCAAATAAAAAAAATCAATTAAAATTCTACTAACAAAAAATACAAATAATCAACTGAAACCAAGTGAAAAAAAATAAGACATGGAAAACAACGAATAAAATGCAAATGAAAAATTATAACTAATCCTAAAATGAAAAGACACATGATAACTAGACTAAAATGCAAAATGTGCAAATCACATGTAAAGTGGTTTTGAAACAACCCCTATATAGCATGTATGAACACTTGATCTAAAATGGAAAAAATGAACAGAATGTAGAAAAAAGGTTAACCAAGCAACAGATTAAACCAAAAATGCAAAGAATAACCATAGTTGGAAACTAATTTTTGATTTCACTGTTTTGGACTTCTACTTTGCACAAATAAATCTCCATCTAATCTAGAATTTATATAGAAGGGTAGAGGACTAAATGAAGAATTAAATGGAAAAAACAATGTAGAAAAATACATAAACAATACAAAAAAAATAAAACAGTAGTTGGTATGTACAAGAAATGCAAGAATTTCAAGAGAAAAATTCTTTCTACAATTATATACTGTAAATGAACTTCATCTAAGCTAGAACAATCTAGATTTATGAGTTAACTACTTAAATCAACAAGAAATCTAATGATTCAACAAAAGAATCAGCTCAACAAGCTCAATTGTAAAAACATTGCAAAATTTGAAAAATTAGAACATCGTCTAAGAACATGATCCAAACTATAATGAAATGTAAAGAAATAAACTAAATAAAGTAAGAATCAATAAGTAAACAAGTAAAACTAAGGATTTAGAGTAAAAATAAGGCAAACAACTCACCAAAGAGAGAATAGTTCCATGCAAAACTTGCTTGATCATATTTGGCCTACACCTATCACCTGCATCTAGATGAATTTTCAAGCTTGATCTGAAACTGTTATGGTACGAGTTTGAAATGAAATTTTCAATATGTTGTAGATAATTGAATTAGGAAACTATGAAAAAATTTGAGCAAAAATAACTAAGATTTGAATGAGAGATTATAAAATAACCGTAGATAGGTCAGAACTAGTAGATTTAAAAATAGATTTTAGAACCAACAAAAAATAAATAGATTTGAGTTAGAAATCAATAAAATTTGCAAGTTTCATTGTCAAAATCGTAAAGAACATTGAAAATTCTTGCGAAAATGTAAAAGTATAATCAAAATCAATATAAAAACATGAAGATCAAGGGTTGTTTAGTTGCTAAAAAAGTAAAATACAGTAAAAGAAAGTGCAAAAATTAAAGAACAACAAAAATAAATCCTAAGCTAAAGTCTCTTTAAAATGGTTGGGTCCACTTTTATTTATAGGCAGGTGAGTGGTGAATGGAGCCCTAAAAAATTCTCTCTAAAGTATCTATAATGAGGTGAGCTCCTAGAAACTTATTTCCTCTTTACATCTACACTTGGTGCATCACTATGTGGCTTTAAAACTCTTCACTGGTTTGTAAACTTCTCTTTATGCAATTTTGCCATTCTAAAATGTCCTCTTTATAGCCAATAAGAACTCTCTAAAAGGCCAGTTCAACTACTCCTTAAGGCCTTCTTTGAATCTTCAAAAGATGG